AACTGCATTCTTTAATGCCTGAATGGTGTGTTTACTACGGCTCTTGTGACTAATGGGCTGTGAACGCTGGTGTGCAGATATCTGTTCTGGATCCCACATTCATTTCCCTTGAATGTGTTCCTGGGAGTGGAATTGCTGTATCACATGTTGACTGTGTTTAACTTTTTGAGGAATTGTCAAATTGTTTTCCATAGTAGGTGTACCATTTTACATTCTCAACAGCAATTATGAGGTATTTTGTTCGTTTGCATCCTTGCCAACTCTTATAATTATTCTTTTTTTTTTTCTTTTTAAATTATAGCCATCGCGACTCACTAGGCTAATCCTCCGCCTACGGCGTCGGCACTCCAGGTTCTAGTCCCGGTTGGGGCTCGGTTCTGTCCCGGTTGCTCCTCTTCCAGTCCAGCTCTCTGCTGTGGCCCGGGAAGGCAGTGGAGGATGGCCCAAGTGCTTGGGCCCTGCACCCGCATGGGAGACCAGGAGAAGCACCTGGCTCCTGGCTTTGGATTGGTGTAGCACACCAGCTGTAGTGGCCATTTGTGCGGTGAACCAACGGAAGGAAGACCTTTCTCTCTGTCTCTCTCTCTCTCTCTAACTCTGCCTGTCAAAAAAAAAAAATTTTTTTTTAAAATATTATAGCCATCCTCGTAGGTGTGAAATGGTGACTCATTGTGGTTTTGACTTGCATTTTCCTAAAGACTAATGATGCTAAACATCTTTTTATGTGCTTCTTGTCCATTTGCTAATCTTTTTTGAAGTAGTTTCCATTTAAGACCTTTCGGCAGACTGATTGAATGAAAGGTTCCAAAGTTAGACTGCCTGGGTTTATGCACTGTCTTTAGGACCTGCAGCAGTTACTGAACATCTGTGAACTGAATTTCACCAACTGTAAAACAGATAATAATAGGTGTCTACCTCACAGTGTTCTTAAGAGGATCAAGTAACCTAATATGGGTAAGTTCTTAGAACTTGGTATAATAAATGCTCAATAAAAGTTAGCTGGATTTATTTTTAGGAACCTCAGAATGGCTTTCCATGGTTTATGAAATAAATAAATTCTAGTTAATATAGAAAGCTTGCTTTTTTTGAGCTTCAGACATTTTTATTGTAGTTATATTTATATTTAAAATTTTAGAAATTATACTACTAGAGCATATACTAAGACATTGTTCTATGTATAATAGCTGTGAAAGTTTTACCAGCTTTTTCACTAGTCAACTGTGTGACATTGGGCAAGGCACTTGAATTCCTTTTGTTATCTGTATCAGGAGTATAACGTGATCAAATGTTAATATGCATGAAAACCATTAGTATGGGAAGTATAATTAACTTATGCAAGGTAACGATTAATATTTATCTTTAGGAGCTTTCATTTGATCTTGTAAATAAACTTACCTCATTATAATTGCTCTTGGGGTGAATGTCATGGCACTGTCTTCAGAGTCAGCTTAATGAGATCTTGTGGTATTTAAGTGCAGCTTCGCCCTGCCATAGGAGAGTGATTTCTTTCCTGAATCACTCGCTCTGCACTCACCCTTTGTAGGGTGAATTCTTTTTTTTTGACAGGCAGAGTGGACAGTGAGAGAGACAGAGAGGAGAAAGGTCTTCCTTTTTTGCCATTGGTTCACCTTCCAATGGCCGCCGCGGCTGGTGCGCTGCGGCCGGTGCACCGCGCTGATCCGATGGCAAGAGCCAGGTACTTCTCCTGGTCTCCCATGGGGTGCAGGGCCCAAGCACTTGGGCCATCCTCCACTGCACTCCCTGGCCACAGCAGAGAGCTGGCCTGGAAGAGGGGCAACCGGGACAGAATCTGGCGCCCTGACGGGGACTAGAACCCGGTGTGCCTGCGCCACAAGGCGGAGGATTAGCCTAGTGAGCTGCGGCGTCGGCCTAGCATACTATATTAGTACATCTTATTCTTGGTGAGATTAATCCTGATCATTTGGTGAAAGTTTCCCCTTTGCAATTGATAAATATCTTGGGAGACGTTACTTTGAGACTTCGCACATTTTCTGTTTCTCCCTAAGTTCTTGGCCGCTAGTTTTTATATTGATTGGTGGATCTTGCCTGCAACAGCTATTGTTATGGTTTTCTAATAGTGATTTTTTGTTTCCCTCATTCTTTCCATACTAATTGATTGGAATTTTTCTAAATGGAAGAGCTACTTCTTCTCCACATTTATTTATTTATTCAATTTTTTACTTATATCTATAAGCAATTATTTTTTTTTAAATTTTAATTTAATAAATATAAATTTTGAAACCGCAACTTTTGGATTATAGCGGCTTTTCTCCCCCATAACCTTCCTCTCTCCCACAACCATTCCATCTCCCACTCCCTCTCCCATCCCATTCTTCATCAAAATTCATTTTCAATTATCTATTTATAGAAGATCAACTTGGTATATATTAAGATTTCAACAGTTTGCAACCACACAGATACACAAAGTATAAAGTACTGTTTGAATACTAGTTATACTGTTAATTTGCATGGTACAGCACATTAAGGACAGAGATCCTACATGGGGAGCAAGTGTACAGTGACTCCTGTTGATTTAACATATAAGGAATTATTGATATTTTATTAATGGACTATAATTCATCTTTTGCTTAAATTATTATGTTGGACCATTGGAAGCTCTTTTTTTTAAAAAAAGATTTATTTTACTTATTTAAAAGACAGAGTTACAGAGAGAGGTAGAGACATAGAGAGAGTGTTCTTCCATCTGCTGGTTCACTCCCCAAATGGCTGCAATGGCCGGCGCTGCGCCTATCTGAAGCCAGGAGCCAGGAGCTTCTTCCGCGTCTCCCACGTGGGTGCAGGGGCCCAAGGACTTGGGCCATCTTCTACTGCTTTCCCAGGCCATAGCAGAGAGCTGGATCGGAAGAGGAGCAGCCTGGACTAGAACCGGCACCCACAGGGGATGCCGGCGCTTCAGGCCAGGGCGTTAACCCACTGTCCCACAGCACTGGCCCCTGGAAGCTCTTTGAAGCTGAGCCCTAGACGCTTCTGACATGGTAATCCTTTTTAGAATTTTCTGGCACTTTAAGATGGAACAGCCTGATTTTACACTTTCCCTGACCCAATGCTAGAATTGGCCACTTTTATAAGGAGCCAGGATCTGGATGCTAGGTGGTGTGATTGTTGTGAGGTGTCCATCCTATCAGTGGACAGAGCTCACATATTTGTGTGGACACACTGATCCATGCTTATAACTATATCTGTATTTAGTTCTGATTCTCTCTTTATGTGTGTGTGAACTAAGAAATCCTAAGTTCCATCTAATATCACTTCCTTTCTTTACTTGTAATTTGTTGCTTTAACAGTGAGAAAGGAAACTCTTTATCTGTAACATATATACTTAGTTGTTCAACCATAGTATATATACAGAGGTGTTTCAAAATTGCTAATCCACACCCCTGTTACATATTGATTTTTATTTTGTAATTCTGGAGAACTATTAAGGAAAACAGCATACTAGGAGATAGATTCTAATGGTGATTACTTCTATTTAATTAAGTTTGGTATAGCTCCTGGTCAACTTTGCCTTCCACAATTATTTTTGACTTTGTCTTACATAATATAGTGTACTAAAAGGATAAGACTGGCATTGTAGTATGTTACCAGCTAATTTGCCTGAGTATGATCATAAGAAAATGTTAAACATCTTTTTGGTGAGAAGGTTTGGAACTCACAGATTGTTGGAGAAGCATTTAGTTGGCATCCAGTTAATGCTTCTTAAATTTTTGTTTTATAAGAAGAGGTGTATGCTGAGTAGAAGAAAGTCACACATTACAAAAATATGTAAAGGCACATATGGAAATCCCTTATAAGCCCTCATGACAGCTACCACCCACCCACATATACCAGATAACTGTCCTTTTTTTAAAAAAAAAAAAAAGATTTGTTTATTTGAAAGGTGGAACGTCAGAGAGAAAGGGAGGCACAGAGAGAGAAAGAACCTACATTTACTGGTTCATTCTCCAAATTGCCGTGACAGTCAAGGCTGGACCAGGCCAAAGCCAAGAGCTGGAAGCTCCATCCTGGACTCCCACGTGGGTGGCAGGGACCCAAGCACTTGGGCCACCATTTTCTGCTTTCCCAGGTGCACTGGTAGGAAGCTGGATTTGAAGCAGAGGAGCTGACACTTGATCTGGCACTCTGACATGGGTTTCCAGCATCACAAGCAGTGGCTTAACCTGCTGTATTACAGCATCAGCCTCATATACATTGCTTTTTAAACTTGAACATTTTATAGTCCTGTTTTGAGGTTTGCTCTTGTAAATTTGCCAGAATGGTAGAGAAAATAGCTAAATCCCACTATTTGGGAAATCGTTAGAGATGTCAGGAGACATTGGGGATTTTGATAGTACTAGCATAGGATTAAGATTTCTGGCCAGGGTACCAAGGAATGCCAGTGACTGCCCCCACACAGTAGCTGACATCTCTTTGTTTCCCGGGAGGTGACCTAGTATGTGTAACGCACAGTGGAGGGTGAGGAACAAGGTGTTGGGAAATTACCATTTCTGGGTCTTCTGTAACTTTGCTAGTGCTGCCATTAGAAATGACTGCAAGTCAGTGGCTGAAACACCAGAAATTTAATCTCTCGCAGTTCTGGAGGTCAGTAACCCAAAACCAAGCATCAGTAGGGCTGATTTCCTGAGGAATCTCAGAGGAAGAATCAGTTCCAGCCTTTGTTAACTTCTGTTGAGTGCTGGTTGCTCTCGATGCGTAGACTTCCATTCCAAGCTGTGTCTCTGTCTTCACATGGCCTTCCCCTCTGTCAGAAGTCTCCTCCTTCTCCCCCTTCCTACACAGATAGCAGTCATTGGATAGAAATCACTCTCAATTCAGATGATCTCATCCTAACAACCTTAACTTGATCATATCTGCAAAGACGTGCTTTCCAAATAAGGTCATAGGTACAGTTATGACCTCTCTGAGTGACATTTTTTTTTTTTTTTGACAGGCAGAGTTAGAGAGACAGAAAGGTCTTCCTTCCGTTGGTTCACCCCCTAAATGGCCACTATGGCTGGCGCGCTGTGCCGATCCGAAGCCAGGAGCCAGGTGCTTCCTCCTGGTCTCCCATGTGGGTGCAAGGCCCAAGCACCTGGGCCATCTTCCACTGCCTTCCCAGGTCACAGCAGAGAGCTGGACTGGAGGAGGAGCAACCGGGACAGAATCCGGTGCCCCAACTAGAACTAGAACTAGAACCCGGGATTCTGGCACCGCAGGCGGAGGATTAGCCTAGTGAGCAATGGTGCCAGTCTAGGTGACATTTTTAAAAAAGAAATATTTATTCAAAAGGCAGAGTTATATGTAGAGAGGGAGAGGGAGGGAGGGAGGGAGAAAGTGAGAGAGAGAGAGAGAAAGATTGATCGATCATCTGTCTGCTGGGTCACTCTCCAAGTGGCTGCACTGGTCAGGGCTGGCCCACGCTGAAGCCAGGAGCCTGGAACTCCCTCCAGGTCTCCCACTTGGGTGGTAGGGGCCCAAGTACTTGGACCATCCTCCACTGCTTTCCCAGGTGCATTAACAGCGAGCTGGGTTGAAAGTGGATCAGCCAGGACTCAAACTTGTGCTCAAATGGGATGCTGGTGATGCAGGTGACACTGTTGAACCCACTGTAGTCTCTAACACTTGTACATATCTCTGTGCTCAGAGTTCAAGGTCTTGACTGTTCTTTCCTGGACTCTCTCTTGGTTGTGTTTGTTTTGAGCATTATGTGTTTGTATTAAGCAACTTTGAGAAGTGATACCTTTATCCCAGCAGAGAGCAGACTTGCTAACTACTTCCTATATAGGCAGTGATTTCCCATGCACATTGTTTCTGTCCTGTTACACAATCCACTGATAGTCTGCTGGGCTGCTTGTAGATCAGGGGAGAACTGATGTAGACATTTGGGCAGCTTATTGGTAACATGAATAATAAAGTACTTTGCCTTTAATCTTCTGCTAACATCCATGAAACAAATTAGTGTATTACCTGCTGATGGGATAGCATAAAATATCAGACCCCGACACAAGGTGCTGTGTTGTTGGTGTGGCTTGGGCCTGTAATTCTCATGCAGAGCTTTCTAGAAAGCTGGTTCAGAGCATGCCATCTAGCCTCGATTGCTTAAGTGAGGACATTTCCTTCTTATCATGTCCAGATGTTACCAGCAAAGATCTCAGAGATCGTCCCTGAGCCCAGAATGAAAAAGTGTGAGGGCACTGTCAGGGCTGTTCCCAGGATCATCTCGTCATCTGAAGGGAACAAGTAGAACACAGGAGGCCTCTCTTCATATTGGATCTGTCACCACTGATTACTTCAGCCTCTAGCAAGTGTAGCCCAGTCTGTGTTATGGAATCTGGATGGCCTTGACCAGGTCAGTATGCCTCTTCTTGCGGAGGAAGCAGACAGCGTGGCTTTTAGTCTGAATGGTGCCGTTTGTCACTCTGGCCTTATACAAAGCATGATTTGGAAGCAGTCTCGTTCTGCCGTCACATCTCACTACTGAGTAAACACATCTCAGATGTTTTATTCTGGAAACGTTTGTTATATGTCTCCTTTTAGCAAGCAGTGTACTGGAGATATTAAAAATGAATGAAACTTGGCAGTTACCACGAAGAATTTTAAGTGGAGAAACACACATAAGCCAGTAATTGCAATATAACATGAATAATGTGGTTTGGGAGCACAGAGTTGGGGGGCCCACTGCTTGGTGCATCACAGGGGAGGTGGTACTTAAACTGTTCTTACCTGGTTTGTCTCACACCATTGCTCTGCCATGAGATTTTAGTCCTATACTAATTGAAGTAGTTTTCCAACCTCTATTTTGTCATCCGTCCAATTCCCTTTCAACAAAGTGCATTATAAACATCTGGTCCTTCTCATTTGATTCCTTTCCTGGACACCTTCCATGCTTGTATTTTTGATAAAGAAAGGAGTGCAGACTCTTGACAGCACCCGAAGTCCTCCCGGTCAGTATTTGGCTCACCTGTTCCTTTACTTTGCAGATCCCCGTCTCCAGCTGTTCCAGGCTGCTCCCTGAAAACACATGGAGTTTATGTTTGGCTCTGTGGCTGTGTTCTGTTGTTATTGTTATTATTTAAAAAGATTTACTTACTTGAAAGAGTTATGGAGAGAAAAGAGAGAGAGAGACAGAGAGAGAGAAAGAGAGAGAGGGATATCTTTCATCCACTGGTTCACTTCCCCAGTGGCTGCAACCACTAGGGTGGGCCAGGCAGAAGCCAAGAGCCAGGAACTCTGTCCCATGTGGGTGGTAAGAGCCCAAACACTTGGACCATCTTCTACTGCTTTCCCAGGTGCCTTAGCGGGAAGCTGGATTGCAAGTAGGGCCAGCTGGATCTTGAACTGCTGCCCATGTGGCATGCTGGCGTCGCAGGCTGTAGCCTAACCTGCTGCACCACATGCTGGCCCCATGTGTTCTGTTCTAAGACAAGCCTTTCACTTGTCTCTGCTGTTTGAGATTGTACACTTTTTTTTTTTTTTTAAGACTTATTTATTTGTTTCAAAGGCTGAGCTACAGAGAGGCAGAGTCAGAGAGAGAGAGGTCTTTGATCTGCTGGTTCACTCCCCGGATGGCTGCAATGGCTGGAGCTGTGCTGATCTGAAGCCAGGAGCCAGGAGCTTCCTCTGGTTCTCCCATGCAGGTGCAGGGACCAAGGAGTTGAGCCATCCTCTGCTGCTTTCCGAGGCCGTAGTAGAGAGCTGGATTAGAAGTAGAGCAGCTGGGACTGAAACTGGCACCTTATGGGATGGCAGCACTACAGCTGGCGGCTTTACTTGCTACGCCACAGTGCCCTGAAATCCTACACTCTTTCAAGGTCTACCTCAAATACCATGTTTTGCATGAAGCCATTTCTTGTCCATCTAGCTCTCTTTCAAGTTTGACTCCTGCCTGTCAGTTTTCTTTAATATTTTGTTAGCTTTCTATGGTTGGCTGCCTCATATTTCTTCTGGTATCAGTAACTCCATACCCTTAGTTTCTTTTAGCTGTTTTATACTGTAAAATTTTGTGAATGGTTTGGCATTGACCTCTTCTGGTCACAGAAGGTGTGTTCATCCTCAGATGTTTTAATTTTAGTGCTAGGCCTTCTGGGGCCTACGACAACTACTTGGAATTATGCATCAAAACTTCACTGGACAGTGAACGCTTAAGTGGAATCAATTATATATTGATTAACTGTACTTTTTTAAAGAAAAATTTAATTTATTTGCAAGGTGGGGAAAGAGCGGGAGAGAAAGATATCTTCCCTCTGATATTTCACTCCCCAAATACCTACAACACCCATGGCTAGGCTAGACCAAAGCCAAAGTTGGGAGCCTGGAACTGTATCTAGGACTCTGATGTTGGTGGCAGAGACAAATGTACTCCAGTACTCACCATCTGCTGTCTTCTCAGACACATTAGAGGCATAGTGTTTGAATTAGAACTGTATTCTCGCCTCAGCTCTGGTTGCTCTTTCTCTTTTCCCAAAGATTTATTTATTAACTTGACATGCAGAGTTACAGAAAAGAGGTCTTTTTTTTTTTTTTTTTTACAGGCAGAGTGGACAGTGAGAGAGAGAGAGAAAGGTCTTCCTTTACCGTTGGTTCACCCTCCAATGGCCGCCACGGCCGGTGTGCTGTGGCCAGCGCACTGCGCTGATCCGAAGGCAGGAGCCAGGTGCTTCTCCTGGTCTCCCATGGGGTGCAGGGCCCAAGCACTTGGGCCATCCTCCACTGCACTCCCGGGCCACAGCAGAGAGCTGGCCTGGAAGAGGGGCAACCGGGACAGAATCTGGCACCCCGACCAGGACTAGAACCCGGTGTGTCGGCGCCGCAAGGCGGAGGATTAGCCTATTGAGCTGCGGCGCTGGCCTAGAAAAGAGGTCTTTTATCAGCTGGTTTACTCCCCAAATGACCATGATGGCTGAAGCTGGGGCAATCCGAGGTCAGGAGCCAGAAGCTTCTTCTGGGTCTCCCACATGGGTGAAGGGCCCAAGCACTTGGGCCATCTTCTGCTTTCCCAGACCATAGCAGGGAGCTGGATTGGAAGTGGAGCAAGTGGAACTCGAACTGGCACCCATGTGGGATGCTGGCGATGTAGGTGGATGCTTAAGCCACTACACTGTGCTGGCCATCCTCTGCTTTCCTTGGTGAAGTTACTTTAACCCGCTAAGTCAGTTTTTTCCTCTGTGAATTATGACAATATTACAACTTCCTTTGAGATTTTCTGAGAATTAAAGTGTTTAGTGTAGTGTGCTGTAAATTTCAAATTCTCCTTTATCTTTTCCTCATCTTAATTTCTCTCCTTGTTTTCCTCATTTTTGTTTTTCCTATCTTCTCATTAGTAGTGTCTATAAAATTTTCTGTTTTGCAGTTATCTGATTTCTTTGCTGTTAGGGTGATTTTTCTTTCTTTTTTTTTTTTTTAAGATTTATTTATTTTATTTGAAAGAGTTAACACAGAGAGGAGAGGTGGGGAGGGGGGGCGTCTTCCATCCGTTGGTTCACTCTCCAATTGGCCATAATGGCCAGAGCTGTGCTGATGTGAAGCCAGGAGCCAGGAGCTTCTTCCGAGTCTCCCACGCGGGTGCAGGGGCCCAAGGACTTGGGCCATCTTCTACTGCTTTCCCAGGCCATAGTAGAGAACTGGATAGGAAGTGGAGCAGCCAGGTCTTGAACTGGTGCCTATATGGGATGCTGGCGGTTCAGGCCAGGGCGTTAACCTGCTGCGCCACAGTGCCGGCTCCAGGGTGATTTTTCTAGATTTAGAGGTTGTGGGCAAGTTAATAATTCTACATTGTTAATGCTGCAGGTCATCATAAATAAACTGCCTCATGATGGAGACTTTGTCTTCTTGAGACTTTCAGTAATAGTCACTTATTAGCTCTATGTAAATACTGCATTGATCACAACTTCTTTTTGGGGTGGGCATCAAAATCAACATCTTATTCACAGTAGTATTGTATTCCCTTATGTAGTAATGCACCACTAGCCTAAACCTTAATATGTTTTCTTTCATTCATAGTTAGGAAAATTAAATTTTCAGTTCCTTTTGTACTCTTCTGGAGAAATGTACGTTTATATAAAATTAGAAATACTCAGTAAGTCATCTATGTAGAAACCTGTATTTTAACTATAGATAGTTTTTAGATAAAGGAAGGGATGAAAGAGTGAACAAGGCCGGTGCCGCAGCTCAATAGGCTAATCTTCCGCCTTGCAGCGCTGGCACACTGGGTTCTAGTCGCGGTTGGGGCGCCGGATTCTGTCCCGGTTGCCCCTCTTCCAGGCCAGCTCTCTGCTGTGGCCAGGGAGTGCAGTGGAGGATGGCCCAAGTCCTTGGGCCCTGCACCCCATAGGAGACCAGGATAAGTACCTGGCTCCTGCCATCGGATCAGTGCGGTGCGCCGGCCTCAGTGTGCTGGCCGTGGCGGCCATTGGAGGGTGAACCAACAGCAAAGGAAGACCTTTCTCTCTGTCTCTCTCACTGTCCACTCTGCCTGTCAAAAAAAAAAAAAAGAGTGAACAAAATGAAAATGCTTCCTAGAAACATGATCTTCTTTGTTATTCTCTGTGAAATATCTCTACTTTGACTTTGGACTCCTTGCTTCTGAGGATGGAAATGCATGGAGGTGGAATCTGTGACACATGGCCTTGGAGGTTCATCTGATAAATCATGTGCATGTTCTTGATTCATTCATTCGTTTTTTATTCACTGTCCAATACCGTGTCGGTACACAGCTGGGGTCATATGAAAATGACTAAGAAATTGTTTCACTTAGAGTTGATAGTGAATTTAGTGTGAGGGAAAACATGTTTAAGTAATATATTTAAGACACATAATCAAAGTATGAAGCAAGACTTAGCAGAAGAGTGATTAATATACTGCTAACGAGGTGGCTTGCTATTTTTTATGTTTTTATCCTTCTAGAAAAGGAAAAGAACTGAATGTGAGATCATGGTGAGATCTTGGTGTCAGTTGGCTGTCACTCTCCCCTTGCAGCTCTTGTGGGGACTTTGTAATCTGCTGTGCTCCTGCGCGGCTCGCTCTCGACGCAAGGCTTTCGTTCCGCAGGCACCTGCGCTCTCTGAAGGCTTCTGTGGTTAAAAGAATTGTCACTGATAGTGTTCTTACTTAGGGATCCTTTAGGAAGAAGGAGGCCAGTCGTAGGAATCATTGTGATTGTATATTATGGTTGATAACAAAAAGGATGGATTTCTGCTAGGTATACATACATGTCTAAAATTACATACATTTATTATATACCAATACATGTATGATGTACATCATAAAACATACACAAAAATAAGCATTAAGAGGGAAGAGGTAGACTAAACATGTCTTAGCAGGAGCAGACATTCAGCCTAGTGGTTTAAG